CGACGCTCTCTACACTGCGCAATGAATCTCTTATTTACACCCTGTCTACACTTTGCTTATGAAAATATTCATGAGATATGTCTGTGATACATTACTCAACGCTGCAAAAACACGTAGAAACCGTTGAAGCTCCCTTTGAGCGCAATCACAAGTATGATGATGATCGGGTCAGTCACATTAGTGCTCCTAAAAAAATGTTCATAGTCGCGCGCAGTAGTTTTCAGTCGCAAATGCGACTGAAATGGTCGCACTGTAGAGCCCTGCCTACAAGATACATGTCATATCGGAGCTTTTATACTATTTTAAGCATTTATTCCAGCTCCAGAACGGTTTTATGGTAAATTCACACGCAAATGCAGGGGGTTTCCAGACTGTATTCTTAAAATTGCCACAGCTGGGTCTCGACTATATTACTGAGGTGACGTTGCCTCCGTTTGCCATCTGTCTCACTGTATAGGTTAGATTGTTATCAAAGAATGAAGTGATGAAGCAAAGAAAGACTGAATATTTGGACGTGAAAGTAAGCGCTTTTGTCTTTGAACGTGAGGGAGAAGTCCAGATAAATGAGCCTCAAAGCAGCACAGAAGTCTTTTTTTAGAAAGCACTTAGAAATTAAGTTGACAGTGAAGTGAATCAGGTCTTTAGGACCTGTAAAGGCAGTCAAAGTCATATGTTAAGAGTCGAATCCTCCTGGCTGTGGATCTTACTTATTTTTAAGGCTCAGATTTGCAGTCATAACCTTCCCAGCAAATTTCTTTAGTATTTGATTCTCATATCTTCTGTCGTCTTGCTCTAAAGATCCACATGAAACCCATTTTACTTCTGTGATGTGATGTATTTCCAAGTGAATCCGAGATATTTAATCAGAAAAAAGTCAGAAAAAAAATGATAATAAAAAGTCTTGGCAAAAGAATAAAGTTATAAATTTTTGAGCATAAAGCCAAAATTATGAGAACTAAGTCAGAAATGCAAGCTCAAAGTCATAATATTTTAAGTATGTCGTCAAAATAAAGTCATAGCAGTCATGATTAAAGTTGTAATTTTGAGAATCAAGTCACAAGAATGAAATTGTACTGTAGCAAAGTTGTAATATTTTGAGTATGAGGTCAAAACTACGAGAATAAAAAAAATCATAGTATTACGAGATTATAATTGCAATATTTTGAGAGCAAAATCAAAATTATGAAAATAAAGTTGTAGTATTATGAAGATTGAGTACAGTTGATGCAGTACAAGATTGAAGTCGTAATATTTTGAGAATTAAGTAGTATATTGTGTACGTTCATTATTTTATAATATAAAAAACATACAATAGTAGGAGAAACAGCGTGAATATTACAATGAATAGAATGCCTCTAGACTTGCGCAATATTCTACTTTATTCTCAAAATATTGCTTTTATCTCAAAACAAAACTTTATTCATATTAAAACTTTATTCTACTAATACTACAACTTTCTCTTAATATTATGACTGTTATATTTTGAATATCTCAGAATATTATGATTCTAATCTTCTTTTGCTAAATAATGTAAATTAGGCCCTAAGTCAGTTTTGATTTTTATCTTGACATAACTAAGTCTCTTGTTCCTTGTTCTTGCTCTTGTTCGCTTGAGTTTTATGCTACATCATGATTATATTCAAAGTTATATTCTTTATTTAAACATTTCAATACTTGAAAAAGCTGCGCAAAGACCTCAGTGAACTGTTATGTTATGAATCGATTCACTTAAAGGGGTCATATGATGCGATTTCAATTTTTCCTTTCTCTTTGGAGTGTTACAAGCTCTTGGTGCATAAAGAAGATCTGTAAAGTTGCAAAGACTAAAGTCTCAAATCCAAAGAGATATTCTTTATAAAAGTTAAGAGTCAACCACGCCTACCTAAAACGGCTCCATAAACACATTGCATTACACCAAATACACCAAATAATGTTCTTTTTAGCAACATCATATGACCCCTTTAAATAGACAGTTTGATTCAGTTGTAGAAACCAACAACAACATCCTAGCCTCATGGCAAACATCACTCACATTGTCATCAGAAAATGCAAAACTCTACACTAGTTGTTGTCATTCAGGTGTACGGCGCACGAGGCCGGCGTTCTGTCAGACATCAATATAGCAGTTTCTCTCTCGCCCTCTTTCTGTCTCACTGCAGTTGGTCAGATTTTTCCAAGTTGTTCATTCCACACATATTTATGTCCATGCGCGTTAAATATCGCATGCGATTAATCGTGCAGCCCTAATGTCCATGCTTTTTGTCATACTATTAGAATCCACCCTCCCCCTTGACGCGCACACACACACACACACACACACACACACACACACACATGCTCTCTGTGAGACAGTCGGCGCTCAGTTCTGCTGTTATGAGAGAAAAAGGGGGGCTGTAAAAATAAACAGAACAAACTTTAACCATTGAAGAGGAAAATCTGGCCTATATTAGCCCTTCTCTCGCTCTCCCTCTCTCTGTCTCTGCGTCTCTGTCCGCTCCTCATCACTGATTTCCCAGAGCACAGAGTCTCCCATTAGCAGGAGATCAGAAGAAACTAGATTTGCATTTCCTGAAGGAAAAGAATAGAGTTAAACTTTTTGGGAAGGTTCACTTTTATCGGGCTGTAGCAAACGCAGTTCAGTACGTCATTGCTATGGGGGTATTTTTTGAATGCTGATCTTGAGTTTATAAAAGTTAGACTGAAATTATGCACATAGTATTTAATTTTTTGGGTTTAATTAATTGCATAAGTTTAATATTTAGGGTTAGTGTTTTGAACTCTAACTGGAAGTCAGTACAGTGAAGCCGTGCGAGAACTAGAAGAATGAATTTCACTTTTGTTTTTTTCGTCCTGCACTTGATCTGAAGAGACTTATTTCTTTCTAACGTTTTTCTTTTGCTCAGACTTTTTTCACAGGCCATCGTTCAAGTTGTCAAACCGACATTCCTTTAACCAGACAATAAACTGGCAATTCATTTGCTCGCTTTTTCTTTTCCAAACCTTAGTGGAATCACAACTCGAATCTCTTTAATATCTCATTTGTTTCTTCTAGACAGCAAGAGATCAAATTGAGACTTTTGCTGAAGTGTCCTGCTTCTCACATGTTTCTCCTGAGAAAAAACACACCTATAATGTCATGTGTGACTTTCAGAAGAGATCTCAACGGTGTAAGATTAACTGTGCAAACTAAAGTCTGCGATCAAAAGTCACAAACTTAGAGGACCTGTGATTTTATAGCTTTATACTCTTAATTTATATCAGCTATGTTGTTTCTCTTTTCCATTTTAGGTTCTAAATGGTTCTAAAATGAAACGTATCTGAGATCTCCAGTAAGTCTGCTGAGCTTTGAAAGAGGAACCTTCATTTTCCCCTAGCGTTTCATTTTTCTCTCATGCGTGCTTTCTTTGAGGTTTCTGTAATATTACAAATCCGTTTGTCGGCACTTTGTTGTGCAGTCACAGGAGGGTCACATGCAGAGATGTTATTCCTGTTTTGGTGCTTTTCATTGGCATGTTTCCTTAAAGGTGAAATGTGTTTTTCAATGTTAAAATACTTTCTCATATCCCAGTGTAATGTTCAGAGTCTTTTCCACATTGCAGACAAAAAGAGACCATCTGACTGACATTTAAAGCGACCAACCACAGTTTGTTTTGTTTTTACGTGCCGATAGGAGCAAGTTTATCTAAAGTAGTTGATGCCACATCAATGTTAAGAAGAACTGATCATTTGTCTTGAATCATGGTCTCATTGTACTTGTGCCATGTGTGTTGCATGTTTCAGGCAAAACCCATCTACGGTGGATGGCTGCTCCTGGCACCTGAAGGAACAAACTTTGACAATCCTCTGCACAGATCACGGGTTCGTATAATTGCAGTGCTCTTTAAAGTCCAGCAAAACCTCACCAAGAACTCGCCACTGCATATGGATTATAATGCAGCGCTGCACTTTTTGCTTAGCAAATTCAGTTTGGCAAAAATGTCTAACAAAAACTTTTTTTTTTGTCCAGGGCCATATTTCACACCAAAATAAAAAGGAGAATAAGAAAATATTTTTGAGAGTATATTGGGAATACTTGTATGTATACACTTAATCACACACACACACACACACACATATATATATATGAGAAATTTTCATGTTCTGTTTGGTGTCATTTTAATAGGTTTATATCAGTTTTCTACTTAATGACTTTTACTAATTGGATGTGATTGTAAATAAAATTAAAAATGAAATAAAATTCTTATTAAAATTCATTGGGCTTTGATTAGGAAGTTCTTAAAATAATTTAAGATTGAAATCTAATTATTATATATCATTATTTTCAAATAATATTTATAATTTTATTATTATTATTATTAGTAAATTATTTAATTCATAATTTATATTTTAATAATTATAACATATTTATATAATGATTATTTTTTACATGTTTGTCACTGGGTCTCTGGGACCACAACCATCTTAACAAAACATGAGGGTTACTTAAATCATGATCGTTAGAGCAGTTTATGCATTATATTTAATACAACAAAGGACCAGAATTGCTTGTCTATTCCACATTGTGTGTGAGTGAAGAGATTGCTGTTCTGTGTGTTTGCTGTACAGTATGTGGGCTTGTTAAGGGACGAACGAGTCAAGTGTGTGTGTGTGTGTTTGAGGGGGCCGTGGAGTCGCTGACTCACTCTCATTCTCTCTCAAGCTGAACTCGTGAGAAACAGCCGGAGAGGGAGTTTGTGGGATGGGAAACAATTCGACAGCAAACAGGAAATCACAGATAGACAAACAAGATGGAAAAATGATATAAATAACCCAAAGTATATGTAGTATATAGAAGTAGGTATGTGTAGGATGTGGTGGTCAACTAAATGGCAATTGCTAATCTCCAAAGTCTAATTAAATAAATATATAAAATGCAATTTAATGACACTGACAAAATTGTGTATACAATATATTGTATATGTAAATAAAATGAATTATTATATTATAAAATATTTACCCCAAATGCACATCTTTAAAAATATTTTTTATTATTAATTGACAGTAACAGGAATTTACCACTTCTGTAAATCAATCATGCAGCTACCATATCAATCCGCTTGCCTGATAATACATGCATTATAATTTATATACAGTGGCCCTAATACACTATGTAGACACTTAAGTCAGACTTAAAATGCTTTCAAGATCTAAAACATGAAGATGGCATCATGTTTCGCTCATGCAATGGTCATTTCTTCTCTTGCAGAAATGGCAGAGGCGTTTTTTCCTTCTGTATGAGCATGGACTCCTGCGTTACGCACTGGATGACATGGTGAGTGAGTGCTATGGCTTTCGTTTGGTTGTATTCTCATACTGTATATACGTGTTGCCATGTTCTGTCTGCAGTATGTGGGCGGCACTGTGTGGACAGACCTTCAGGGTGTTTATGATACTGCCTGTCTGTTGTATGTTGTGTGTGTTTGTATATGTATTGTATGGTATAATATGGCTGAATTCAGGGACGGTGCATAATCGTGACAATGAACATGTTCCTAATGGCACACTACTTCATTTAGTGCACAACTTTAGTTTTTTTAGTTCGATTTTTACTGCATTTGACAGTACTTCTTTCATTTAATATTTTGAAGGATATACCAGGTTCAATACAAGTTAAGCTTGTCCTTTTTTTTCTTTAAAAAAGCCAAAATCTGTGATACAATGGAAATGGGGCCAATTTATTCAAATGTGAAGCTCTTCGTTTTATAAAAGCACTTACAATTACATTTTTCTGTGTGTTATTTGAGCTGTCAAATCGTTCTTGTCCTTTTATGGTTTGTATAGGGTTTTAGGTGTTATTTATTTATATGTAAGATTTTTTCTCACAAAAATCATATTGTTCATGTTTTTTGGCTATGATATTGAAACATTGAGTCCTTAAACGATACAGATTGGTCTCATTCACTTCCATTGTAAGTGCTTCACTATAAACCAGATTATTGTTTTTTTTTTTAAAGAAGTTGAAATTTATTTTTATGTCAATTTACACCACAAATTTGACCGGTTGAGCATAATTTGTACTAAACCAGGAATATTAATTTGCTTCTCTTTCATCTCTCTTTCTTTCGGAGGGGAGGAGTGATGGGCGTATAAAGAGCAGCATAAAGGATGAAAAGCCGTTTGGCTTCATTTGCATTCTTGCGTGTTTGTGATTGTTATTAAGCACCACTTCAGCCCACACGTGATCATGAGTTCTTTTGTACGTGCGTGTTTGTTTACGTAAGTGTGTGTCTGGAACTACATGAACATACAGTCCGTCATTGCTGAATGCAGGAAGGCCAGGTCCGACCCGGCTCGGGTGATGATGATGATCTCTATGTGTGTATGCGTGTGGGTGGGTGAAGCGGCGCTACATCCGAAAGCTACCCACAATCCATCTGTGCCCACTTCCCTCCTACACTCAGGCATCCAGGAACAGAGATGAATGTACACATTACTGGGATCTCTCGTTCTGGAGAAGCGCTCGCAGCAGAGAGAGAAAGAAGGACAAATAAGAGAAATATTTAACAAGGAAGGGATAATATTCTCTTGTAGATACGGACCGTAGTCAGATGCCATGTTTAACTGGACACAACTGAAATGAGGCTGTGATTGACGGACATTGCAGTCAGTTGCTTGTACTGTTTCTTAGGTCATGTCTAATTTTGGGAAAGATGAAAGTGAATGGTGACCAGTGGCTGTCGAGCTCCAAAAAACAATATAAAAGCATTGAAACAGCAGTCCATGTGACTTGTACACTATATCCCAGATCTGATTACTGATTTGTGTGAGGAACAGACTAAAACTGAAATTACTATTCACTGAAGATCTCGCTTGACAACTGATTACTTGGAAAACATTGTCTTCTACTATAAATAACTCCATTCATATTCCACAGAAGAAAGTCATATGGGTTTTTCAAAGAGATGAGGATGTGTAAATGATGACAGGGTTTTCATTTTTAGATTAGCTATTACTTTACACACAAACATGTAGGCAGAGATGTTAATTTAGTAACGCTATGACAGATTCAGCTATTAATGAGTTAAATATAGTTTGTGAGTCTTTTTGAGTGATTCATGAAAGTGAAAATTAATTTGCTTGTGAATTGGATTACAGTGGTTGCGCTGTCTATACACTGTAGAATCCAGTGTTGTTGTTATTAATTTAAACTAAAACTATTGAAAATAAATAGTTTTGGGTAATTGAAATAAAGCTGAAATAAAATGAAATACAATAAAGTAAATAAAGAAAAAAAAGGTAAAAAAAATACTAAAACTTAAAATGAAATAAAAATTAATTATGGCTGTATAGAAATAGGATTTAATTACACACAAATGAATTAAAATGACAAAAGCACACAAAACAAATTTACTAAAACTTCAACTAAAATTAAAATGAAAACTGAAAATATAAAAACAAAAGCTAGTTCAAAACAATAAATACTATAAAGCACATTACTAATTCTAAAATGATACCGATTGAGTTTATCACATCATTTTTAATTCAGACAGCAACTTGAGTTTTTGAGGAAACACTGCTATTTGTTTTACGCACACACACACACACGCACACTCGTGCACACACACTCGCATGCACACACACACACACACACACACACACACACACAGACAGACAGACACAGACCCACCTGAAATGCTTTTTTAATGCAGATGGTTTTGATGTGTCTGTCTGTTGATGTCATCAGCAGGGTTTTCATTGTATCGGTCCCATCAGAAACAGGTGCTGAAGTGGCCGAAATGGTCTCGAGAGAGGTCAGGGTGTCTGGTGTTGACTGGACACCGAACGCTTAAACACATTCGGAGTCTCACGCTGTATTTATAGCTGTTTTCCAACATGTGTTTCCATAACGACCACTCTAACCCTACAATTTAGAATGAATGTAGCGGTGAATCTTACAAAACATGTCAAGAACACCCCAAAATCGACAGAAAAATAAGTATTATGGCTTATTCAGGCTTAATTAGTATCGTCAAGATTATTCAGAACATTAAAGGAAAAATTTGGTCATCATTTAATCACCCTCATGTTTCTCCAAACCTGTATGACCTTCTTTCTTTAGCAGAACACACACAAAAATTGTAAAATGTGTTTTTTGTCCATACAGAGGAAGTTTGTTGTTTTGGATGCCATCGACTGTCATTACATTATGGAAACTCTTAAACTGCCCCTTTCATGTTTTTTGCATTATATCATTTAGTCCATGTGTGTTCGCTTTGAGGTTAGCATTTTATGCTAGAGTACATCTAAAAGTTGACTAAATAAATGGTAACATTGACAGTAAGGTCCCATTTGTTAATTTTAGTTAATGCATTAACTATTATTATAATTATCATTACATTTCTTACAGTATTTATTCATCTTTGTTAATGTTAGTTAATATAAATACAACTATTCATTGTTAATTCATGTTAATAAATAATATTAACAGATACAACTATTGATTTTAATGATGTATTAGTAAATGGCGACATTTAACTAAGATTAATAAATGCTTTAAAAGTATTATTCATGTTAACTGATGTAGTTAACAAATGTTAACCTTATTGTACAGTGTTACCAAATAAACATTCAACATATATGCATCTAAAATGTACAGTCTTTCCTGGAAAACTGACCCAAAATATTGATTTTCATATTTCAATAGGAAATACATCAACACAAGAGAGAAAAATAACATTTTTTCATTTCATAGGGATTTTAAAGTGAAAATGAAATTTCAATTTATAATGTGAAACATGCTATTCAATGGAAAAAGGTAGGATGGTGTTTATTTTGTATTATTTTGTGGCTTCTGTATCGAGATATGCAATGAATTGTGAGTAATGTCATGAATTAATCAGCATGTTACATAATTAATTCGATTGCATTTTTAAAATCGATTGACAGCCCTGCTTTCCTTCTCTCTATCGTCCACTCGTTCACCTTCCTCTTCCTCTGCTGTCCGCCCCCGTTGGACTTAGACTCACTAAAGAGAGAGAAAGAGAGGGATGTGTAGGAGGAAAGAACAGGATGAGAGGAAGATTACAACAGAAGCCTGGCTGCTATTTTCAGACTAGTTGCATCTGTGTATGAATGCATGTGTGTGTGTTGTGATTAAACGGCCAGTTATTGAACATACACGCTGTAATTCACAACCTCAGTGACCTCAGTTCACCAGAAATGATCCCCTGATGTTGACCTGTGGGCCGGTCGAGGGTTAAAGCTGTGGGCATGGGTTTGCTGAACACAGATTCAGCAGTATCTTTGTGTTGCGTAAAACGCTCAGTCAGTCGGGCAGCGTTCCCAGAAGCACCTCTCTAAAGACAACGGGACGCAGAGCAGCACTAGAGGAGTTTTAATGCGATTTATCATTATCACAATGTTCCCACTTCATTCACAAGTCTTTCTTTTTCTAGTTTATCAACCGTTTAGATCAGAGATTTGCAAACTGGAGTTTCCAAGCTGATGAAAAGCTCATCATTTTAATCAAATTTAGGTAACACTTATTTTAAGGACCCATTCTCAGTATTAACTAGCAAGAGTATTACTAGCATACTGACTGTTTATTAGTACTTATAAAGCACATATTAATTCTGCATGACCATATTTTATATCTCTTAATCCGTTAATATTAATTAAAAAGTAATAGTTAGTTAATAGCAAGAATCAGATCTTAAAATAAAGTATGATCACAGTTTATTTTTAATTTAAGTTATTAAATAAATAATAATAAAAACCATCTAAATATTTTATTTGTTTACCTGCGTGTCATTTGACCATTAACCGACATCAGAGAACCGTAAACATAGGAATGTGTTGTTAAATAAAATGTTTTCAATTTTAGGGGTACTCCATAAAATATTTGAAGTCAAAGGTGTTCAGATGACAAAAAAGTTTGGGAATCCCTGATCTAGATAATAATTTCCTTTTTAAATACAAATGGGTAGTTGACATAAAGTTTCAAGGAGTGTCCTGCTGTAATCAATGGAACTTTCTATAATTCACTTGAAAATAATTATTTTAAATTACTTAAAAAAAAAAAAAAAAATATATATTTTAAATGAAACTTTAAAAAGTTTTTTTTTTTTAATTATTTTTACAATTCTTGTAAAACTCATTTATGGACTACATAGAATATGTATGCTTTTAAAATTAATTTGTCAAAATACAGGACCATTGAAGTTAAATGCAAAAACAGCTAAAAATCGAGACTAGTTGGAGTTTGCTTTATACATATGTGAATTTTAACCTAAAATCTAACTAATTTTAAATCTTTCTAATTCTTGCTTGATTGTTAAACATGAAGTTGCAATGAACTTTATAACACATATGGATAATACTTACAATATTGATATAAATTTTGAACCTGATTTTTTGAAAGAAATAAATAAATAAAAAAAAAATATATATATATGTAGCTTCAAATGTGGTTTCAGTTCTAAAATGTCATGTTTTTAAATATGGAAGACCAAACTGAGCACAGGTTGTGGATAAATTAGTTCAGTGGTGGTTAGTTAGATGGAACTAGTCTGGCAGTAAATAGAGGGCAGAAGTCAAACACAATATTTGAACTTGAGGAACTTTGATCTGCAAATATGGTTCACAGAACACAAATCGGGCTGTAATAAAAATGTTGTTGTTGACTTTGAACATAAACAGTTAAATGTATGTTGTAAAGAGTATTTTAGAATAATAAATGAAAATGCTCAATCAAAACATTTTTAATGATAAATATACAACTATATGGAGCAGTTGATTTCACTCTGGAAAATAGAAAGCCAGCAGCTGATAAATGTTAGGTTTGGTTAGGCCACATGTTAAGGGAGGTTAAAGAGGTTTTTCTGGTTGCGAGTGAATCCTGCTGGGATGATTACAGGGACTAAAAGCCCCCCACCGTCCTTTAAAAATGCATGATGTCTCTTTTATGGAACTTGATGTCTCCCATAATGCCTCAGCAGCCTCATCTGCACCTCTGCTGTCATCACTCAGACGTGTCGGCATCCTGTCATCAGTGGTTTTAAAACACACAAACTCATTCAACAGTGGCACTGAAGTGAAACACGGTAAACAAGCGATTAAAAGGAAGCTGGAAACGCAACTTTGAAAAAGAAACTTTAGAAGGCCTGTTTTTTTCAGGGGTTTTGTGTTGTTTGCCTTTCCAAATTTCTGATGAGTATGTGTGTGTTGCTTGGTCACTGTTTCTGTGTGTGTCAGTCTTTCCCGTTGAAAGAGTTATTGTGTGTTTGTGTGTGCGAGTGTGTGTGTGTGTGTGTGTGTGTGTGTGTGTGTGTGTCTGAATGCTGGCTGCACAACAAAGAAGGAATTTTGCAACTAGTCAAGAACAAGAAGTAAAATATCGAGAGATGTTGTGAAAGACGGTGAGAGAGAAACTTGGATGAGATTGTCAGAGGAGGTTCGGTAGGGAATGACAGAAATACAGGGAGAATGAACCGGTTTGTGGTGTTTTTGTGGTATGTATTTTAGGGAGGTCATGTGCCACACGTTTACACAAACACACACTTTGCTTTGCCACCTAGATGAGCACGTAGCATAGACTTCTGTTGGTTTTATATTAAGCCAATTATAGTGCAATAACCAAACTATAATTCTAAAAGAAAATGTTAATTTTTTTAAATGTATAAATCTGTAAAAATGTAAAATAAAAATGTATTGTGTGTGTGTTTCAGGCCAGCACTCTTCCCCAGGGCACCATAAACCTGAATCAGTGTGTGGATGTTGTGGACGGTGAGAGCCGGACGGGTCAGAAACACTCGCTGTGCATCTGCACGCCAGAGAAAGACCATTACATACGTGCTGAGAGCAAAGAGATCATACATGGGTGAGTTACACACACGCACGGATGAACAATGAGCGTTAATTCATATCTCACAGTTGATCATAAGATATTTTTACAACTGTCTGATGTTTATATGCAGTTTAACACGTCACTGTATTGATGTGATGAACTACTGAAGGACAAAAATGTAAATTTAACATCCGACAATTAATTATGTTTTGAAAAAAAGCATCTTATCCCTTTCATTTCCACATGCACGTTCACTCTATGAGCTATTTGAGATTAATCGTGACTGATGCATTTAATCATTAACATTTACTTCTTTAGCAGACGCTTTTATCCAGTGACTTACAAATGGGGAACATCACAAGCAATTTGTCATAGAGCCATCTGTATCACTTGCTTGCTGCATAATGCATAAATTTATAAGACTTGCAGATAAGAATATAAGAGCAAAACATAAATTACATTTGAGATGTCAAAACTAGCAAGAAACTGACACAAAACAGGTTAGTTTATGAACGATGTGTTGCTATGTAATGATTGCTATTGAGAGGACAATTTGTGTTTATCTCCTTTTTTCATCTGGTAAAGCTTGATATGGGTTTGGTTTTAAACATTAATGTAAGTAATGACTAATGAGATCACTCACTGATTGATACAGTCTGTCTAATTAGATAAGCAATTACTAACTAATTGGTGTTTTGAAATAATGCCCAAAGGTTGTTTGTGTCTTAAGGTGGCAGGAGGCGCTGATGGTTTTCCCACGAACCAACAAACAAAACCAGAAGAAGAAACGGAAGGTGGAAACACCAACGCCACAGGTACACATATATATTATATATTTCACCCCAAAAGTAATAATTTAGTCACTTAAAATAATTTTTTCAAAGTTTAATTTTAAGGCAAGCTATTCCTTTAACTAGCTTAACCAGCAAGCATTTTTGTCAGTAAACCTGCATAGCAGTATCACCGGCTGGTTTTTACTGGTGAACTGTATGGTTGTGTTAGTCCTCCAGCTAAACCAGCACTAGACCAGAATCAATCAGACCAGTATTCCAATCAGTGCCTGCGTCTAGACGTAACTGATGTGTGTTTGTGTTTTGCCGTAAGCATGAGCTTTGTCTTCATTCTTGGACTACATTTACAAACTCACACACACACACACACACACACACACAGGCCAAGTATTTCACTCACCTCATTCAGTGAATGACAGCAAAAAGAATCTACTCTGGAATCTGAAGGTGTTTCTTCATCTTTGCACAGGCAGCTCAAATTTTCTAGTCCTTAGATAAGATGGTTTATTGGCTAGTATTTTGTTCTACCAAGCAGGATTTTGTGACCGAGTCTGCTTGGAAAGCCAGTACTTCGTTTTTTATTTTTATTTATTTTTATTATTTATATTTGTATTCTTTTATTTGTTTTATATTTTTCTTGGAAAATGGTCTTAAAAATCAGTCATATGTGTATATAAAAATTATTTTTACACATTTTTTTCTTTTTCTATTTTCAAAGATTTTTTGTATACAACAAATCTCAGCCATTTTTTCATACACTTTTTATTTTATTTTATTTTTTTGGTTATTGTTCATTTTATTTTATTGCTCAGTCCTCTAGTTAATAGATTAATGAAGTGTTTTAAACTGACGTCAGGATTTGTTTGCTTTGCTCTGACCTCCTGACCTGTGTTTTGTCAGGCTGCTGATCTTCTAACAGATCGATGCTCCCTGCAGAACATCAATGGTTTTATTGTAAGTCCAGAACCAGCATGATCCAACCAATCAGAGCGCAGCACAGGAATCTGATCAGTACATAAATTCCGGGTGTTTTTGGAGGTCATATGATTGGCAGGAATGAGAACCTTGTCATAATTTGTCCAGTAAATAATTATCATGTGTGTGCTTCTGCTGGGACGCTGGGTGACTCACGCAGGCGTGTGTGTGTGTGTGTGTGTGTGTGTGTTTGGTTTCATGCAGAAAAATTCACTGAGTGATTTTATGATTTAATCAAAAAGGTATTACTGGGCGGTCAGGTGGAAACAGGAAAGACACAGACTCTAATCTGCGAGTGTGTGTTTAGTGTGGGGTGTGGTGCTGAGCGTAAATCAGAGTGTGTATGAAATCATGGCACAATAGCTCATTTGTTATCAGCCTGCAAGTTTAGACAGTTAGATTCGTGTGTGTATCTGTCTGCACACACACAGCTGTTTTTGACATCAAAGAGCTCTTTGTTCTTGACTATGGGTTAGTTAAATATTATGCTTGTCTGTATGTCTCTCTTTCTCTGTTTCTGTGTTCAGGAACCAGGTCCTGCGAAGGTGACGGTCACCAGTACCTGCAGCAGCAGCAGTATGGTGTGTCTCCCCAGCGCTATAGCTCACGCAGAGCGAGTGCCGCCCACCCGGGCCACCCTGTGGCAAGAGGAAACATGGAGTCGAACCACCATACCGACAAGCTGCAGCCTGAGTCAGCTGGGTACCAACACACAAAAACACACACAATTCATCTGAAACTCACAAAAACAAGGTTATGACACTATGACACTACTGTTGTGGGGTGTCAGTCGTTCAGCTGACAAAATATTGAAATTACATCTTTCATGTCACACCTTAGCGACGTCATAGCAACGCCATGGCAACCACTCATAACACTGTAGCACAGAGTGCAACAGTCAGGTTCCGAAAGTAAAACTCCCATTCATTTTCTCTAATAATAATTAATAATAATAATAATTTATGCATTTAGCAGACGCTTTTATCCAAAGCGACTTACAGTGCATTCAGGTTATACATTTTATACCAGTATGTATTTTTTATCTCTATGTATTATTTTGCAATAAATGTAAAATATATTTTCTAAATACACAATCAGCATCTTTAAATCAGTAGTTTTATATTTGTCCATGGACTGTCATTCACAGTGCCTCATGGGATTGTAGTTCTTTCCCTCAGTAATGCCTTTAAGTTCACATTATTGTGCCTTTGTCCTTTTGTCCAGTTTTCAAGTAGCTTTTTTGCTTCAAATCAAAGTTTGTACTGTTGTGGTTCACCTCGTAGCTAGGCTTATAACTCTTAAACGAAGACTTTTTAAAGATCCCCATGGGAGAAATGAATAGGAAAAATACTTACGGAACCAAGGCCACTGAAAAAGCGGGCAGACACTGCTTTTTTTGTGATATTTTCTTCATAAAATCTAGTTAAATGTCTACTTTGATTATGACGTCACAGTCAGTTATTGGCATCATGTTCAATACATGTGATTATATTAGTGATTTACATCACCAGGGAACTTTCTTATTTTCACTTATTTTCAAATGAAAATGTCCACTTCACACATAATATAGTCACTTGACCTCAGATTTCTGGGAAAACACATTAAACAAAAAGAACATTTAATTTGCCCTCACAAAAACCACAGTAACCATCATTAAATGTTACCTCAGTAAAACTGTGGTAACTTGGTGCTAGTCACCACTGTCATTATTAAACTAAATGACAGATTCTCAAAGCGTCTTGCACTGTTTGAAAGAGATCCCAGATTCATTTAGTATGATTTTGCAGTAGTAACTAGGTATTCTGGCAGCTGTAATGCTACCATGGTGCATTTTTATAAAGTACTGACTGAGATTTTTCGGTCTTTCTCACGCTCAGACTCAGGAAACTCGAGTGTTGGTCGTAAGCCACGGGTGGAGAGTGGATATTTTTCGCTGGAAAAACCCAAACCCGAAGAAGACGAAGAACGACAGCATCATCGCCAGCAGGAGCAAGAGCCGCCGCCACCGCAGCAGCATCCGCCCCCTCTGCTTTCTGCTTCCTCCACCACATCCTCCTCTTCCTCTCGCTCCAGGTATCTCTCCTTTGATCCTGAGCTCTTCAGCTCTCCAATCAGCTCACACAAACACACGTCACATGACCCACACAGCACTGCTAACACACAGACTTCCAGCATTACATATAACGCCCACGCTCACAAACACAACACACAAAGACTTAGCAAATCAGAGGAGCATGTTTCAGCGGACGCCCCATCACTGGATTCCCAGCTCTCGTCGGATGCAAATCTCTGTCCCCTTCCCAGCCCGGACACGCTCTCCGGTCCGAACCCGCATGCAAACATCCTCCCATCGTCCCTGTCTTCCTCTCAGAGCTCTTTAGACTCTGAGCAGGGTCCGGAGAGCCGTGTGGGCGGAGCCTCGGGCAGGGCGGGGCGAGGTGGGCAGGGTTACGCCGCCCTGGCGGATGTGCCGCGGGCACGGAGACTCAATCATCGGGAAGCGTTCCGATCCAGTAAGGAGCGGCAGGAGCTGCGAGCGCGCAAGAGGAGCCCGGGCCGGGAGGAAGTGGTGCGGCTGTTCGGACATGAACGAAGGTGATGAGCCTGTACAGTTACATACACATACAAAAGCTCTGTTTCAAACCCTATCTTCTTAGACAGCATCTTTAGAAGTAGCTGATTTGAAACACTACATGGGCGGCAAATCTTGTAATTGGCATTCATGCGTGCCCCACAAATAGCACTTAAAAGACGTTCAGTTCTGTATCATTTGATGCATTTCTAAGACCTCTAAATGATCAATATGATCAAAACTTTGCATGTCTCTGATTGATAGTTTGTGCTGAACCAAATTGCGTACTTTTGTTCAGTTTGAGCTTCTAAATAAAATTGAGGTGTTTTTTCCCCTCCATGTTTTTTCTCCTATATCATGCTGTATGAGCCATAAAAGCCTGATGAATCAAACATGATACTCAGAAACCATATACGCAAACTTTTTAACAATTTTTTTTTTTACGTTTTTGTCTAAAGGTTCAATAAATCATTCAAATAAAAAAAATTACATTAATAATATTATAAAATATATTAAATATAAAATATTAATTATAAATATTAAAAATTTTTAAAGACATTGTGAATAAAATATATTTTGCATTCAGTTTATTCCAGTGGTAGGAATGAGGAAGAAATTATTTGGTGCACTTGTAATATTAACATGTAGTTAAGTTAATTACTTGATGCTCTAATTGGCACAAAATAATATGCTGTACACCCAAATAATTGTTAAAATTCTTTTTAATTAAATAGGCTATTTTCTATCTTCTTTTCAGTAGCGACTAAAGTGTATAATCATCATTTCATCCGATGTCGTTTTTTAAGTGAAAGGATACTGCCTTTTTGTGTTTATGATGCCTAAAAATGCTGTCTAGGAATGCAAGTCGCTAGAGTTTGTACCAGAGCCAATGACACACACACACATTCTATTCAAATATACATACATTTAAATCACCGAAATAAAGTTTGTTAAAAGACGTTCATGTTTTACAGCCTCATTAGCCTTTATAGTTAATAGTCTGATTGCAATAGAGGAGATACACAGTTCTGAACAGGGAACTGAAGATATGCAGCTACTTCCCCTGCAGTAAAAACACAATCTGCTCGTTCAATCCGAGCCAACACGCCTGCTGTTTACCTCTCAGAGAGAGCGTGGAGGTTATATCTCCACCTGCTGGAGCCAGCAGGAAGAACCAGCCGGTTATCTGTCAATGACACTCAGGACGAGCAAGTTGAGATGCAGGGAGGATGCGCTGCTAACTTTCTGAGCCAATGCTGTGTGCCTTTAGTGCTCGGAATCATGACATTCATCTCATTCTTGCAGCTTTAGCACCACCTAGTGAACACTGTGTAGAACTGAACTTCCAGCCTAATCGCTCTTCCATTTTGTTGAAATCTCAATGCAGTCCTGAATGCTGTGCCGTTCAGTTCTGTATCTGTGATTAAAATGTTCTGCGCCGTTCTTTCCTGATCTCTCTCTCTCTCTCTCTCTCTCTCATGCTTTTTCTGTGTCTTCAGCTCATTTTTGCTTTTTATTTGATCTGTTTCTTCTCTTTTTCAGGCAGTCCTCTGAAACTCTGCACTTCCTGCCCTGTGCCGCGCCCCGCCACGCCCACTGACACGCCCACTGCTTACTTTCATTCCACCTGCTGGGGCCAAACTATAACACACACGATACACATCTCAGAATCAGAGACATAGAAACTAAGGCCTTTTTCACACCGCAAGCAGCGTGTATTTATTTTGGCACATGTTTCTTTATTTTGGCCACCTAAGCAGCACAGTGATGCATAGACGCATAGTCATGTAAGTTCCATTTTGCTGAGATTTTTACCATTTAAATGTAAATGTGATCACATAAATTAGATTTGGTCTACTTTTGTAATAATAATTCTCAGACCCCTCCAAATAAATATTTAATAATTATAATGATAATTATAAAAATATAATATTATTTAGAAGTAAATATTTTCTAAATGTATAAAAAAATAGATTTTTTTTTTTAAGTACAGTACCATTAATCAAATTTGGAAAGAGTTTTTTTTAAGTAGTCTCTTCTGCTCACCATATGATTTAAAAATACAGTAAAAACTGTAATATTGTGAATATTATTACACTTTAAAATAAACATGTTCTGTGAATATATTTTAAAATGTAATTTATTTCTGTGATGCAAAGCTGAATTTTCATCATTACTTCAGTCTTCAGTGTCACAAGATCCAAAGAAAATATTGAAAAAAAAAAAGCATTCTACCTCTGCTGTGTGTCATTGAATAAATATATAACACGCAACTTCACATAAATAATAACTTTCATTTATGGCTAAAATTGACAAGATTTTTTAAATTACAGTATTGTATATATGGTAATGTATTATATCAGTTAGCATTGTATTTTAATGGTTATGATACATAGCAGAGGTAGTTTTAGGATTTATGATTTTTTAAAAATTAAATTATAAAAAACAAAATAGAACTTATGTTGGTGAATATGAAGGGATGAGAGAAAGTTATCTTAATTTATTTATTTTAAATAAAGAAATTATTTATTTTAATGCTGTGCATCAGAAACGCGGTGAAAACAATACAGGTATGCTGCTGCTTTATTTCAGTGTGAAACAGGTGTAAAAGATGAATTGTTCCTACTAACACATGGGTGTACACAGGGACAAAGACTGATGCTGTCTGGGTTTCTGCTCATGGCTGTTGTTGCTGGTTTCCTGTGTCTGACCCTCTGCTCTACCATATGCTCTTATAAGACACACCAAATTCATCATGTTAAACAAAAACCACAAATCAATGACACGCTAGCATCTCAGATACTCGCTACTGAGAAAAGCGTTACAGTTTCAAACACTAAAATCCTTCTAAAGGTCATTTTGCAGAGGATATTATGCTTGTCTGTGTTAGCTAGCTCCAGTTCACAAAGGAAACGGTGCAGCATTGCATGCCAAGAGTTGCTGCATTATAAATGAGAAGTGATTTTTCACAACTAATTGCAATAATTACATTACATCGGCTTTGAATGCGTGTCATCCAATCTGAGCCGTGCTGAAGCGATCAAGATGTACAGTGTCAAGAGTTTTAACATCATAACAGAGGGAAAACAGTGAAAAACAGTTTCCAGCCACATTTCCTGTTTGATTTATGGCAGTGTTGAGGTTATTCCCAATGGTCAGTTTCAGCTGACTGACCAGTAATGAACAGAGGAAGTGTTGTTGTTTTTTTCATCTTTCCATGAAATATCTCCAGAATCCTTCCTCAGTAGATGCAAACACCCTGCAGCGTTAGGTAGAAATGTTGAAATGTTCATTTATTATTGCATTTAGTAGTTTATTTATTATGCATTGCATTTAATACTATTAAAAAGAAGTAGAAAGTTTTAGGATTTTAATTTTTTAATTAAATACTAAACCACACAATAGAACTTTTAAGTTGGTGAAAATTAAGTGATGAGTGAAAATGAACATTTATTTATTTTGATTTTAAATAATTTCTTTTGATTAAACATATATTAAAATGGAAAAAAGAACCTTATGCATTATGAGCCTAATGAATTATGCATTGCATTTAACTCCGTTTATGATCGAAGGCATTATTTTGGAGTCAGAAATAGAGGATGAAGATCTGTGATGAAAGGAAAGCGTCTGTCTATGCTATATTTTCCCATTGCTTCTCTTCTGACCTCTGTGTGTGTGTGTTTTGCAGCAGACGTTCACAGGTCATCGAGAGATTTGAGTGTCATGACACTGTCAGCACTCCAGAGCAAATGGACACAACCAATTCTTCAACAGACCCCGCCCCTTCTTATTCTAAAACAGCCAATCAGAGAGCAGGACGCAATGATAGACGCCTCTCCAACCAGAAACAGGTACTCGTTTAACATTTTTTTTCTGATTTAACTTACCATCTGTTGAAATTGAGTTCTGAGAGCTCTGAGTCACTGCCTGTTTTGTAATGAAATTTCAAGGAGGCCTAATAGCAATAACAGTTCGTTGAATTCATTAATTTCTGATTTTTTTATTAATCTGTTACAGGAATTTTCATTGGATTCAGCTAAAGGACGGACAGATGACGTTTCTTCACTAGCTGGTTACCGCAGGGCCAAAAGTCTGGATCGCAGAGCCACAGAGACACTCATGACTGTAAGACCACACAAATACAAAAATAACACACATTAATATCTTTTAATTATGGCTATCATTGACAAGAATTTTTAATTGCAATATAGTATGTATGGTAATGTATTATATATAAGTACACTGCATAGTCTTCATGCAACATTTGAGGCTAATTATAATAAGTTTGTAAGTGCCTAACTGAAGTGTGTTAATAAAATATGCTTCTGTAGTTAATTGCTCTTAAGAACACATCATGATTATTAATAAGGGACTGCAAGGCTGTCTAAGAGTGTCTGTGTGTTTCAGCTGTTAGTACTTTGTTCATGCAAACCCAACCCAGAACCACTTCACCACCCTCGATTATAAATAGCATTCGCTCAGAGTGTTAGGACCAGAGACACCGACACATGCCCAAACACACACACATGAGAACACAGATTCATGTTCATACACACAGAAAGACGGCATGTGAGTCAGAAGTGTGTGAAGAACAGGTCACAGATGAAACTCAACAAGACTAAGGTACTGTGAACCTAACGGCTAACTAGCAAACGGCCGGTGGGTGTGATCTCAACCTGAGCAGATCTGCTCGAAACGCCTGCATTAGATGGCAGAGGGTTTGTATTATTACTGGTTGTGGTATTTTAGGCTTTGTGTGGTGCCACTGCCTGTATTTGTGCGGGACCCATCTGACTGTGTTCGCTGGTGGTTTTATGATGCAGAAGTCATTTTTTTAGAGACTTTTAGAGAACTTTATTAACTTTGAATGCAGGCTCTTTTGAATATACAATGTTGTTCTTTTTTTCTGTATTAGTTTTGCTGTATTAAGTTTTAGCATATTTAATAAATTAGTTACATTATTATATTTGTTTATGATGTCTTAACTCTTGATGTCTTGTTCAAAAGTGTTTATATGTCGCTAATTGCATGTAAAGTTGTTTAAAACAGCATTTCCCAAACCCCTTTTTAAATCGCAAGTAGTTGAACTATCATGAATTGTGATCAAAAATCTTACGGACAAAATATGGCAAGATATGATTCTTTTTTCTGACGGTCTGGGTTCAGGAAATATATATGCCATTCATTTTCTCTGTAGGTATGTGAAAAAAAAAAATTGAATTCTTAAACCAAATAAACCGGCTACAAGATAAGCTGTATTTAAAAGGCAAAATGTATTTAAAAATCAGAAAAATATGGTGCAATTCTCATCGGGGTTTATTCATGAGAAACAAGAACATTTTTTAATGTAAATAATTTATAAATCCATTTTTTCCAGAGAATTATTGCATTGAATTGAATGAGCATCAAACTGGATTAAATTAAAATAAAATTTTAAAAACTATTAGAATTTTAAAATGTATTTTAAATAAACAGTCCCTGCTCTAGAACATGTATTGCAGCACTGTGTTTGTGTTTTTTGTTTAGTAACGTTTAGCTGTTCCTTGTTAATGTTGGTAGTCTATTCATTTCATGTATTATTCTCATCTCTTTTCAGCCAGACCTGCTGAACTTTAAGAAAGGATGGATGACCAAACTGTACGAAGATGGATTGGTGAGTCTAAACCGAAACCAGTCAGGAATTGATGTGCTTCAGTGATGTTTGAATTTTTAATAAGGAGTTTATTCAAAAGGTTTGTTCTGCTTCTGTCTCTCAGTGGAAGAAACACTGGTTTGTTCTGACCGATCAGAGCCTGAGGTTCTACCGCGACTCCATCGCTGAGGAGGTACGCGTTTCATCAGCGATTAAACCCATTTTTTAATCAAGTGACTGTTTAACAACGTCCCTCGTGTTCCTCAGGCCGCTGATCTGGACGGAGAGATCGATCTGTCCACGTGCTACGATGTGACCGAATTCCCAGTTCAGAGGAACTATGGCTTCCAAATCCTTGTGAGTGATGCTGTTTTATTGTTTCTGTTGTATTTTACCTCATAAAGACTGTGCAGTAGGCCTGGTATTACGTATATAGCAGAAATGTATACCAAATGTAAATGTTAGTGTTGTCACGGTACCAAAATTTCAGTGTTCGGTACCAATACCAGTGAAAATCCACAGTTCTCACAAAAACATGCTAATTAAAAAATTTGACTATACTTTCATTTAATCCAAACTGTGTACACATTTAATTTTAAAGAGCTTTTAAAACCTTCTAGAGTTATTCAGCCAAGAATAACAACTAAGTTAGCTTCAGAACTGCTTTTCTGACTGATATGACAAACAATGTTAACCATTTGTACTCTAATATTTTAGATTCACAATTCATTTAAAAGCCTCTGGTGTGTAAAAATAGTAAATATCATCATGTCCTCCTGTTTTTTTTTTTACCGTAATAAAAGTTATAGGAGCATTAAATAGATAATAAAAAAACTTCATTCTAATGCTCATTATATTAGCGTTAGCCGCGCTTATGCTAATGATTAACTACTCTAATAACAGCGTTCATTTCAATCCGACATTCAAATTAAAATATTGAATAATATTCATAACAGAAGCGATATTTCCCCAAAGACTTGCACTCTATTTGTGGCGGCATATAAATGCAAATTCATTCTCTGCCAGCAGGAGGCGCTTGTAGAGCGGCACAGATAGAGGTTTCCCTGGTAACGGCTGTAATCAAATAAGCGCTGCACTCACAAATGCTGCTTTATCAGGCATTACAGGCTAGATGAAATGAAAATGACATCCATAATTTTCTGAAGACAGTCGGTTTCCTTCAGAAATACAGTGATATAAAAACACCCGCACCGG